TTGGGATTTCTGGTCTGCAATTGGATTTGGTTATTTTGTCTAATCTGACACTTTCTGGTGCTATAAATAATTTCCTTGCTCCATCAAGATCACTACATGGCTTATAAAATCTCCCTGCCACTTGCCTTGATTTGCTTTATAATGTTATCACATCTGGAGGTGAGCACTGCTGGGATGAGTAGCTAACTGGGATCATAAACTCAGCACTGATAATGAATTAAAGGGATGGAGTTTAAGAAAGGATGATGTTTTATTTGTGAGAAGGAAAAATCAGAAGACAGAAAGCTGCTCCAAAGAGGGGGTCAGGGGCTCTGGAAAGATGGATTCCTAAAGACCTTTTCTCCCCAGCTTCTTTTATTGGGTTTAGGGCCCCTTACTCCTGGATGGGCCCATGGGAATTGTCACAACTTATTGGCTCTGGTCTGTTTCATAGATCCTAGGCTACAAGACCCCAGCTCAAGTGCCACTGCCACTTACACATTCTTTTTGGTAGGCCTGAACTTCTTACCCATTTCTCCTTGTCAGAGCCTTATCTCTGGGATTTATAGGTTGGCTAGGAGGAGTCTTACAGAAAGTCAATTGAAAGTTAGTGATTAAGGGGATGCATGTATACCTAGTGCTGTAATATACTGACCCTAGAGAATATGAAAAAATACATTTTACTTTGTTTTTTGAGACAGGGTCTCACTATGTAGTTCAGGCTGGCCTTGAACTCACAGTGATCCCACCTCAGCTCCCCAAATGTGGGATTACAGGCATGTGACACCACACAAAACAGTATGTGTGTGTGTGTATATATATATATATATATTTTTTTTTTTTCTTTAACCAGGAATCGAACTCAGTACCTTGCACTTGCCAGCAGGTGCTGTGCCACTGAGCTATAGCTCCAGCCCAAATATTTTTGTATGTTAAATACAGTAAGTCCCCAACTTAGGAATGAATTCTGCTCTGGGAGAATGTTTGTAAGGCAGATTCATTTTTAAGTCCAACAAAGTGAATCTTATACACCTTTGACACAAATATACAACGTATGTTGCTTTGTGCTTCCTAGGCATTCCCTCTGCATCACCACTGCTTTTCTTCTTGCTTCTGAACATCCTGGACTCTAACTGAGCACTGCACTACAGTACGCTATTGCACTGCACAGTGAGCACACAGCAGCACAACTGTGACAATGTTCAGCAGATACGTGAGCTATTTCTGTGATTTGTTCACATCTACAAATGTTCATAATGCGAGGTCAGTTTGTATCTTTGAAAGTTTACAGCTTGAATGTTCCTGAATTGGGGACTTATTGTAACAGTTTTCTTTTAGGTTAGGCAGCCCCTTCCCCTGTCTCCTTTAGATTTTATTGAAGGGAGGGAGGGGTAGCTATCTCTCTTTCAGGTATATCTGACTTCCTTTGTGCTGTCAGTGCTCCATCTAGTCTTTTTCATTGCTCCCTCCAGTAAAGCTTTAACTCCAGTCAGAATTAGTTAGAAAACCTAATGAAGCCCTTATTCTCTTCCTTCCCTGCTTATGGACCACCATTCCCCACAATGTTACCAATGTTTAGTGGCCAACCTGCTAACAGACCCAAGACTTTTCGTTACCTACTCCTACTTCAAAGAGTTCATATGCTCTCAAACTTCACTAATCAGTAACCAGGTGTGGTGGTGCACACTTGTAATCCCAGCACTTGGGAGGCTGAGGCAGGAGGATCATTGCGAGTTCAAGACCAGCCTGGGCTACAAAGTGAGCTCAAGACCAGCCTAAGCTGCATAGCGAGACCCAGTCTCAAAAAGACAGTCAATCAATCAATACATAAGTAAGTAAATAAATAAATAAAGTTCACTAATCAATTCCCAGCACAGGGGCCAGGGATATAGTTCAGTGGCACAAGTGCCTATCTGGCAAGCACAAGGTCCTAGGTTTAATTCCCGGTACCAAAAGAAAAAAAAAAATTCCCAGCACAAGATTGCTAGACCTACCTCCTTCTCCCATCTGAACCACCCAGGCAGATCCTGCAGTTCTTTTTGACTGAATACTCCTTAAGGCATCTTTACATCCTCATTTCCTTTCTTTTTTCTTTTTTTAAAATTTTTGTTGAGACAGGGTCTTGCTATGTAATTCAGGTTGGCCTTAAACTCATAGTAGCCCAGGCTGGCTCAAAGTTGCAGTGATGCTTCTATTTCAGCCTCCCAACTGTTGAGATTGCAGGTGTGCACCATCACACTCAGCTATACCCTCACTTCCAATGAAACCTTCACTTCCAGGCCTTATTTCTCCCTCCAATCCTCTTACACTAGTCTCTATGCAAGGGATTCTCTTAAGCAAAGCAAATTAAAACCACTTATGCGGGGCTGGGGATTTAGCTCAGCGGCAAAAGCGCCTGTCTGGCAAGCGCAAGGTCGTGAGTTCGATTCCCGGTACCAGAGAAAAACGAAAAAAAATAAAAAATAAAACCACTTATGACAACTATATTTCTGGACCAATATTTTCATGTGTCTTGTCACTCATCCTCCAATCTGCACACAGGCCATAGATCACCCCAAATACTTTCAGCCTATGGATAATGTCACTTTTCTATATCTTAGACCGCATTCTTTTCCAGTACAAGTTTCTATACCAAACTGAATCTGTACATACTTTTAAGAGGCTCACCTACACACAAGGTAAGAATTCCAGCTTGAGTCATGCAAAACCATATCCTTCACAAGTCCCCAACCTCAGGCCCTAGAAAACCGCTGCTAGCTATGCCAATCACTTACTTTCTTTCCTTGATTAACAGATAATACCTTGCCAAGAGTGGTGGTGCACACCTGTAATCCCAGCACTTGGGAGGCTGAGGCAGGAGGATCACTGCGAGTTCAAGACCAGCCTGGGCTACAAAGTGGGCTCAAGGCCAGCCTGAACTGCATAGTGAGACCCTGTCTCAAAAAAGACAAAAAAAGGGGCTAGGGATTTAGCTCAGCGGCACAGCGCCTGCCTGGCAAGCGTGAGGTCATGAGTTCGATTCCTGGTACGGGGGGGGGGGGACCAAAAAAAAAACAAAAAACAAAACAGACAATACCTCTTTCAAAAAAACAAGACCCATGGCACATCTCAGCCATAATCTTCCCCTTTTCAACCATTAACAGGAATGGCATTTACAATTCAATTTTTGTTTGTTTGAGACAGGGTCTCACTACGCAATCCAGGCTGGCCTTGAATTTGTGGCAATCTTCCTGCCTCCACCCCTTGAGTGCTGGGATTACAGGCATGTGCCAATATGCCTGGCTACAATTCAGTATTTCTTCAGGGGAGCCACCAACACTTTCACAACTGATATACATCCTTTTCTACCTTGACCTGGTGACCTGTCTTACTACCTTAGGTAGTAAGCCCTGCAGAAATCAAGCCCCCCTATCCCTTCCAACTGGAGAGGTATCTGTACTATTGCTTATTTAGCCCCTGATAAACAAACTGATCCTAACAAGCCTTCCTTGACTCCCTTTTCTGCCTCTGAACAAAAAGGGTGATTCTTTAATTTTAACTTTAATTCTCCTCTTGGTGGGCCTGGAGATCACCACAGGCACAGAAACAAAAACTCTGGGGTTAGGAATAGCCTCACACCTTCTACAGCCTCTGAGATCTCTAAAAGCCTTTCCCAGCTCTCCACCACCTTAAAGGCCTTGGGTCAAATAGGTTTCTTAGCCCTGGTGGCCCTCATACAGCTCTATTTAGATATGTTGACTGTAGTTTTGGGAGGTGTCTGCATGGCTTTGGAAGAACAAAGCTGTTACTATAGCAACAACCAGGTGCTGTCTAACAAGCTGTCCATACCTTCAGGAATCCCAATTACGGGAACAGGGGCCAAATAGCTACCATCCTTCTCTGGCTCACTAGCAAGAATTTTTCTCTTTCGTTTAGACCCTATCTACTTAATTATCTCACAAAACTTCTCTCTTCCAGGATCCAACAAATTCACCTATATATGATGGTTTGATAGGGATTCCAACCTCTGAACCACGGAAAACCCCAACTATTTCCCTTTTCACTTAGCCCTCAAAGCAGTGGCTCAATCTTTCTACCCTCAGCTACCTCCAACTCACCCAATACCTCACCTGCCACCCAGACTGTGGTGCCAAGCTCAAATATATCCCAACCATCAAATATTACCCAAGAGCCACCAACTCTCTTTTGCCCTTAAGTCAGGATGAGAGTTCCATAATCCCCTACAGTCAGGAGTCACAGCCCCTCTCAGCTGAAAGAAGCTGCAGCAGACCACCAAGCTCTCAACATTCTATACATACTTACCAGAATTATGTCTTTCAGGAGAAAGTTGACACAGAGGTAGCTAAGTATTCACAGCTTTAAATCTGGGCTATGAGGGCCAGGGATGTAGCCCAAAGCATAAGTGCTTGCCTGGCAAGGCTGAGGTCATGAGTTCGATTCCTGGTACAAAAATAAATAAATAAATCTGGGCTATGAAAGAAAAACAATATTTATTTATTTATTTATTTATTTATGTGTTGCTGGGGATTGAACTCAGGGGTTAGAGGTCATGAGTTTGATTCCTTAGACAAAAAAAAATAAATCTGGGCTATGAAAGAAAAACAGTATTTATGTATGTATGTATGTATGTATGTATGTATGTGTTACTGGGGATTGAACTCAGGGGTTAGCCCTCTGGGAAAAATTTTTTTATTTTGTTTTGTTTTTGGAATCAGGGTTTTACTAAGTATGTAGTCCAGGTTGGTCTCAAATTTGCAATCCTCCTGCCTTCGTTTCCTGAGTGCTGAATTATAGATATGTACCTCTGTTCCTGCCTTCCAAAATTTCTTAAGACATGACCCTGCTAAGTTGTATGAGCTATTCTTGAATTCCTCTTGCTCCAGCCACCCAAACAGCTGGTAATACAGGTGCTTTCTGAATGCAAATCTTAATTTGAGATGACAAAATGAGTACTTCAGGACCACTCTAAATCCACATATTGCCAGACAGCCCAAGAAAAAAGGGACAGTCTCCCTCAAGGCTAATGACCCCAGGATAGGGCACAGGCATCTCGCTAGCATCTTTATTCTCGCCATCTTACCTTAGGCACAATGGCTTCAGGTATTCCCATCATCAACACTCTTGTCCTTCAAGAATCCATACAAAGTTGGTCTGATTTAATTCTTTCTTTTGCATCTAGGTAAGACTATTTTTCCCCGTACAAGTTTCCTATGTTCTTGTTTACTTTCAAACACTACAAACACATTAATATTAAAACATGAAATGTTAGGAATAAAAAAATAATGTGGGGTCCAAAAACCACAGTATGAGGTAGCTGATAGCATGGTCTGCACATCATCACCCCGCAACCTTCTCCGCAGGAAGCTTAAGTGGCAGCCGGCAGACACTGCCGCGCCACTCAAGGCACAGGATCATGGACTCCAGGCACGCCTCAACAGCGCACTAATCCAACACAAGACGCACTGTCCCCTCCAAGGAAGTCCAGCTTGCCTCTGAGCAAGGCAGATCCACCCAGAACACAGTGGTCCTCCCCAGGCAGCTCAGCGATGTTCGGAGATTAATACTGAAAACTACGCTTTGTCTGTATGTCATCAAGAATCTGCTGCAGCTCCTCATCTTCAAATCGCCCCTCTAGGCTGTAAGAAGACATGAGTGAGGTAGTAATTATCATTCTTTTCACACTTTTTGTTTTCTTATTTCTAGTTTTTTGTTGTTGTTGTTTGTGTGTGTCTTTTTGAGGCAGGGTTTAACTATGCAGTTCAGGCTGACCCTAAACTCACTTTGTAGCCCAGGCTGGACTTGAACTCACAGCAATCCTCCTGCCTCAGCCTCCCAAGTGCTGGAATTACAGGCGGGCACGCCACCACGTCTGGCATTTTTAGTTGTTTTTGAGACAGAGTCTCACTATGTAGCTCAGGCTGGTCTCCAATTTGTGGTGATCCTCTTGCTTTGACCTGCTGAGTACTAGGATTATAGCCATGTGCCACTATACCTGGCTTGTTTTTGTTTTTTAAGACAAGGTCTTGCTGTGTAGTTCAGGCTGGCCTTGAACTATGTAGCCCAGGTTTTCCTCAAACTCACAGCAATCCTGCTGCCCGGCTTGAGTGCAGAGATTGTAAGCACGTGCTATGTCATCCAGTGTTATGGTCTGTGTCTAGATGTCATCCCAAAGCCTCATGTGGTCAGAGTTTTACACAGGTGGCTGAATCTACAGTGAGTGATTGACTCAGTGCACTGCTGGGATTAAGGCTGCGTGACTGATGAATCAGTTCACTGATTGGATTAGCACCACCCTAATCCCAGCAGTCTGGATAAAAGGGCAGAAAGAGGTCTCTCTCGCTTTCTCTCCCCTCTCCCTCTAACTCTCTCTCCCTTCCTTGCTTTGTTAAACCTTCTAGCCACCATGAAAATCCCCTCTTGCTTTTTTTGCATTTACTGTCTTTTGTCATCATGAACTGTTGGCCCTCTGCCATGCCACACCGCCTCAGAGCCGGCTGAATATGGACTGAAACCTCTACAAACTGTGAATAAATAAACCTTTTCTCCTTTAACTTTGGGTGTTGGCTATTTTGTCTCAGCAATGAGAGAGAAGTAACTAAGACATCCAGCTTCTCTATACTCTTTGAAGCATGTTTCTGTCTGAGTACCACTTACCCATATTTTCTGTACCTTTACCATTTTTTTCTTTTGTTTGTTTTGTTTTTTGAGACAGAGTCTCATGTAGTTCAGGCTGGCCTGAAACTTGTGGCAATCCTCCTGCCTTACTCAGCCTCTCAAGTGCTGGGATTACACGCATGCACCACCACACTAGGTTACCTTTACCTTTTAAGTGTATGAAGCCTTTTTCTCTAATAGAAACACTACATAATGTTTTAAACATATAAAAGACAGCACTCTAGGGCCTGGAATATAGCTCAGTGGCGCAAGCACCTGCCTGGCAAGCACAAGGTCCTGAGTTCGATTCCTGGTACCAAAAAAAAAGATGGCACTCTAGCACATCTCCAGCATCCCCCCGCTTTTATTTTGAGACAAAGTCTTGCTAAATTGCTCAGGCTGACCCCAAGCTTGTCTGCCTCCTTCCTCAACCACTTAGGTAACTAGGACTATAAGCATGTGCCATCACACTTGGCCCCACACATATGCTTCTGCTCACCGCAACTATGCTGTATGTATTCATAGTATGCACAGTTTATGTTCTTTATATCTCTCTTTAAACTTTATTATTTTATTTTTGCAGTATTGGAGACTCAACTCAGGGCCTTTAAACTGAGCTATATCTCTAACCTATTTTATTTTTTAATTTTTCTTTTTGAGACAAGCTCTCAGTATGTAGTCCAGGCTGGCCTCAAACTCAAGTGATCCTCCTGCCTCAGCCAGAGCGCTGGGATTATAGGAATGTGCCACCACATCCAGTTACTTATATCATTGTTATTTTTTTGGTGCTAGAGGTGGACTCCAGGGCCTCAGACATGCTAGGCAAGTGCTCTACCAGTAAATTTCACTACCAGTAATATTTTATTATTTTTGACGTTTGGGATGGAACTAGGGCCCCATGTGTATTAAATACCAACTCTACTCCTGAGCTATACTTTAGCCCTCCTTTTAAATTTTGTAAGAAATGTCATCATACTGTATATACACTTCTATAATTTTTTCTCTTAAAATTCATTTTTGTATTTGTTAATATTATTCCATGTTGTCTTAGTTCATTATTTATTACTGTATAATAAACACTATATGACAATGATTCATTTATTCACTCTCATGTTATACAACTTCTGCTATTACTAACAATGCAGCAAACATGGGAATATACATAACCTAGTGGGGTATACTCATCTTGATCCTTACTATACACAGACAAACTGTTCTCCAAAGTAACTGTACTAATTTGTGCTACCACCATCAATGTACAAGAGCCTTGGCTGGGGGCTGGGGATTTAGCTCAGCAGCACAGCACCTGCCTGGCAAGCGCAAGGTCATGAGTTCGCTTCCCAGTACCAGAAAAAAAAAAAAAGAGCCTTGGCTCTTCCACATTCTTGCTACCAGTGTGGGACAGAACCATCATTTTCATACACTGTTAGAAAAGCTCTCTCATTCAATGTCAGCCACATCTACCCAAATTTTAAATACATACACTTCCTATTTTATTTATTTTTGAGACAGGGCCTCGCTATGTAGTTCAGGCTGGCCTTGCACTCATTATATAGCCCAGGCTGGCCTTAAATTTGTAGTGATCCTCCTGCCTCAGTCTCCCGAATGCTGGGATTACAGGGGTATGCCACCACACCCAGCCCTCATATACATTTTAGACATTGTAATTTTAGTTGTAGGAATTTATGCAATACACATAGAACTTTTCATAACTGGTACTAACCTTGGGATAAGAGCCTTGGACTCCTCAGCAGTCTCTGGGCAAAGGTTGGCTAAACAGGCCAACTCAAACTTATGCAGCTTTTTCTGGAGCAGCAAACTGGTTATAGAAGAAAATCAAAACAAATTAAAGACAAAAAAATCAATTGAAAAAAAGAGATCAAATGCAGCTACAGGAAAGAGAGAAAGGAAAGTATCTGTAGTTTCGTTTATGGTCTTACATGCAAAGCTGGAGAATCTTGTGGTGAAAGTATTTCCTACCTTAAATGGGGAGCTGCAGCGAGAGTGAGCAGCCCACAGGACTCGAAGATACAACAGTGTAGAGCAGCAGCTGACACCCCAGCACAGGAAAACCACTGCATTCCTCAAGGACCAGGCCACCCTTTGTCTGGGGACTGACTTTGTTGCTTTCTGGTCTCCTAACTATTACTCCTCCTGGTACCCTTTGTTACTATGTTTGTGTCAAACACATGGTGTTAGATGTCCCAAGTCTACTGGATGTTTTGACATGGGAATAATTAATTACTTTTTAAAATGATCTAAAACTAAATGAATACAGCTAACTTTGCCTTGTAAATATCTACTGTAAAACGTCTTACTTTAAATGTACTAAAAATGTTCAAACTGTACAAAAGAATATTGTAAATACAAATATTATCATGCACAGAGCGCTTGTGTACCATGTACCAGGCCCTAAAGTACAGTTTAAAAAAAAAAGTCAAAAAGTTGGTGTGGTGGCACATGCCTATAATCTCAGCACACAGGAGGCTGAGGCAGAAAGGCAGGAAGATCATGAGTCTGAGGCCAGCTCAGCTACACAGCAAGTTCAAGGGCAGCCTAGTCTATGTAGCGTGACCCTGTTTCAAAAATCAGAACAAACCAAGAGCCAGGCATGCATGCACACCTGTAATGCCAGCTTCTGAACTTGAAAGGCTGAGGTCAGTCAGGGCAAGTAAGCAAGACCCTGTCTCCAAATGAAAACTAACCAAAGTTTGATTCCCAGTACCCTCCCCCATCCAAAAAAACTAAAAATAGCTGGGGTTTACCTCAGTAGTTGAGAACCTGCCTAGCATGCTTGAGGCCCTAGGTTCAAGTCCTAGTACTATCAAAAAAAAAAAAAAAAACCTAAAAAAAAAAACTAAAAATGGGGCTGGGGATTTAGCTCAGCGGCACAGTGCCTGCCTGGCAAGTGTGAGGTCTTGAGTTCGATTCCCCATACAAAAAAAAAAAAAAAAACCTAAAATGAAACAAATACCATCTTTGATTTTCATGCATCTACTTCTTACAATAGAGCCCGACCTATGATAAACTTGGATTCAGAGATGACCTATTAAGATTTCTAGTGGCAGCACATACCTGCAATGCTAATACATAGCTGGAGCAGCAGTTTTCAAGGTCCAGGCCATGCTGTACTACACAGTGAGATGCTGTCTCAAGTCTGCTTTGGGCCGGGGATGTAGCTTAGTGGCTCAGTGCCTGCCTGGGAAGTGTGAGGCCCTGAGTTCGATTCCCACTACCAAAAAAAAATGTTTTCAGGACACACCTAAGTCTTAAACTACCTAGGAAGCTGGCGTGGGATAACTGATTAAGCCCTGCAGATCAGGATCAGTTTGAGTAAAATAAGACCTTCTCTCAAAAGAAAAGAAAAGAAAAAAAAAAAAAAAGAAACAATGAGCGAGACACAGTGGCGTGTGTTTGTAATCCCAGCACTCTGGAAGGCTGAGGCAAAACATTGCCAAGTTTGAGCCCAGTCTGGGCAACTTAGCCACTACCAAGACCCTATATCAAAATAAAAAATAAAAAAGGGCTGGAGATGTATCTCACTGTAAAGGCCGTAGGTTCAACTCCTAGTACTAAAAATAAATAAATATTTTAAAAAGTAAAAAGAGAAAGCACTGCATTTAGCACAAGCAGTATATTAGCCACTATACAAAATTTAGAAAACACAGTGGCACACACCTGTAATCCCAGCACTTTGGAGGCTGAGGCAGGAGCATGGCCTAACTAAGGAGAGCCTGGGCTCATAAGTGAATCGAGACCAAACTGTACTATATAGCGAGACCTTGTCTCAAAAAACAAAAACAGAAAAATGTTTAGAAAACACAGAAAAATAAGTCATATTATTACCTAAACAAAATTGAAGTTATCAGGTCAAAATATCATTCAAAACATTTTAAGTCTTTATTTTGCAGTGATAGGGATCAAAACCATGTGAAAAATATGAATTGTACCAATGACCCACATCACTAGTTCCATTATTTATTTATTTATGGTGGTACTGGATATTTTGTTTTTTGAGACAGGGTCTCACTGTGCAGTTCAGGCTGGGCTCGAACTCAAGGCAATCTTCCTACCTCAGCCTCTGAGTGCTAGGATTACCACTGTGCACCACCATGCCTAGCACTGGTACTGGATATTGAACCCAGGGTTTTATGTATGGTAAGCAGGCAGACTACCACTGAACTACATTCCCAACCCCTTTTATTTTGAGACAAGTCCTCACTAAATTGCCCATTTGGGGCTCAAATTTGTGATCTTCCTACCTCAGCCTTCCAAGTAGCCAGGATTATACGTGGGTACTTCACCTGGTCTATTGTTAATTATTATACTTATTATAATAACTCATCAAATGGAATCATCATAATATATTTAATTACTGGTAAATGTTTAGACGGTGAACCGTCAGTGATGGCCAAGCTTTTACAGCTTTCAATAGTAACAGCTGGCTATGGCACACGTGCCATAGGCTCATTACCAGTGGTCATTGTTGGCTATTATAAATAGCTTTCTGAGGGCTGGAATCCAGCTCAATGTTCAGAGTACTTACCCTGGCTTTGATACTCAGTATAAAAAGGCAGAGGGGGTGTACAAAGTAGAGTGCTTGCCTAGCATAGGAGAGGCCTGGGTTCAATCCATAGCCCAGAACCACAGAAAGAGAAAAGAGAAAAGAACAGAGCAGAGCTTGCTAAACAGCTCTCTGAAAGCGACTAAGGGCATAGTTCAGTGGTACAGTATGTATGGACTCAGCATACTGGAGGCCTGAGATTCAATCCTAGAACTCAAACACAAAACAAAATGTACAGTGGCCATTTTATGTTTATCATTTTATTTTTATTGGATGTATATATATATTGCAGTATGTGGGGAGATGATACATGCACACAATACATTTAAAAATTTTTTTTTTTCTGTCTTTTTGAGACAGGGTCTCACCATGCAGTTCAGGCTGATCTTGAACTTGCAACGATTCTCCTGCCTCAGCCTCCCGAGTGCTGGGATTACAGGTGTGTGCCACCACACCCAGCTACATTTTAATTTTTTGTTGTCATTAAATCTCTATGGGTTTTTGTTTTTGGACAGGGTCTCGCTATGTAATTCAAGTTGCCTCAAATGCAGTGATCTTCCTGTGTGAGTCTCCTGAATACTGTGATTACAGCTGTGCACTACCTCACTCATCTAGTTCTTGGGATTGAACCCAAGGCCTTCCACACTAGAAAAGTGCTACCTCTGAGCTACATCCCCAGCCCTTTGCTAATTTTATATTGTGTCTTGCTAAGTTGTCTAGCTGGGCCTCAAACTTGTGACTCTCCTGTCTCAGTCTCCCAAGTAGCTGGGATTACAATCATACACTACTACACACAAACTTATAAACAATTTTAAATACTTTCTGAGGGATATAGGGGGTCAAATCCAAGGTCTCTCACACGCTAGGCAAGCACTGTATCACTGAGTGTGTTATACCCAAGGCTCCCATTTTTGAATTTTTTTTTCTTGGTCTTTTTGAGACATGGTCTCACTACGCAATTCAGGCTGGCCATGAGCTCACTTTATAGCCTAGGCTGGCCTCGAACTCACAGCAATCCTCGCGCCTCAGCCTCCTGAGTGCTGGGATTACAGGCTTGCATCACCACACCCAGATTCATTTTTGAATTTTTGGCAGAGACACTGAATGCAGATGATGCCTAGGAAAGAGGGATAGGTATCTGTTTGCAGATACGAAGCAGTCCAGATTAATACAAACTCTCCTTGGGCACTCACCTACGAACACTGGCAATGGTCTCTCTGTTTTTAAAACGACTGAAACGAGCTGTGTAGTTCAAAGTTTTCATGAAGACCCCAGAGAGCTCCTGCTCATCCTCTGCACTCTCGTTCTGTTGCTTCCGATGTTCCAGAAGCATATGAACTTCTGAATTTAGAAGTGTCTCAGCTGTTTCAAACTCTGTTGGGAGAAGCAAAAATGTCAGATGAAAATAGCCCTTCAAAAGCTGCCTGTTGCATGTTTTCATCTGAGTATTTCCCTGTCTTCACTCCCATCCATACCTTGTGTGTCACAGGAACAGCAGAGCTCTACAGGATGCTAACACTGAGCTCATTTCTGACACCAATGAACCTCACCTTAACATGGAATTCACTGACACATGATTATCCTAATTAGGCCAGTTACTGATTTCCAATCAGAGCACATCGACAATATAGAAACCCATAATCATTTTTTGGAGGTGGGCAAGGTGAACCCAGGGCTTTCTCATAAAGCTACATCCCTGGCCTTTTTATTCTTTAAGAGAGAGCCTTGCTAACGTGGCCAGACTGGGCCTAAACTTGTTACCCTCCTGCCTCTGACTCCCAGGGTGCTGGGATTACAGGTATGCACCACCATGCCTGGCTGAACCCACAATGTGTACACTTCCATAATGCTACATGATATGCTTAATTTTAAGAATTGCTGGCGAGGCGTGGTGGTGCACACCTGTAATCCCAGCACTTGGGAGGCTGAGGCAGGAGGATCGTTGAGTTCGAGGCCAGCCAGGGCTACATAACTGAGTTCAAGGCCAGCCTGAACTGCATAGTGAGATCCTGTCTCAAAAAGACAAAAACAAAAAAGAACTGTTAGCTGGGCATAGTGGTGCATGCCTGTAATCCTGGCACTCTGAAAGGCTGAGGCAGGAGGATCACAAATTCAGGCCCAGCCTGGGCAACTTAAAGAAACCCTGTCTCAAAATTTAATTAAAGGGCTGAGCATGTAGCTCAGTGTGATGGCCCCAGGTTCAATCCTGAGTATCAACAACAATAAAAGAGCAAGAACAAAACAGTGCCAACTAAAAAAGAAGCCATAGTGAATAAAATCCAAAATTACTTGCAGTTTGGCATTTACATGTGCTATGGGAATGCTCATAATTGGGGAATCATTTAACACCTGCATCAGAGTAGTGCTCCAACTTTTTTTTTTGGAACCGGGAATCGAACTCAGGACCTTGCACTTGCCATGCAGGCGCTTGTGCCACTGAGCTATTGCCCTGGCCCTGCTAGAACATTTTGAACGAGCTGACAAACTCACACTGTCCTATTACAACACAGGTAGTCAGTGTGGGCAGTCAGAAGGAAGCAAGGTTGTTAATGCAATCGAATAGTCGATCAAAAGCTATTCTGACCTGAGCTTAACAGAGACTGGACAAGTAGAACCTCATCGGGAGAATGAGGCCGGGGAATCGCTGCGACGCCAACCTGAACTACTAGTGAAATGCTGTTTCAAACGTTTTTTAAAAACACCAAAGATTCTGTAGAAATCCCAGCTGAGTACAGTTAACGCGGAGCTCTTTCCAACTGCATGACTACTGATCCAAATCTGTCCTGACCACTTCAGCCACGGCTTCGCTTATCTCTGACACATAAAAACAGGTAGTAAGGGCGGCTGGCCGCCGAGAATTCCAACGATGGGGTGTGGAATCAAGAGGGCTTTCTCCGCAAGGTATTAAGCAAAAGCCCACTAGCTTCAACCTGTGCTTTGCGGGCCTTCCCGGCTCGGTGAATCAGAAACTGAACTCGACCGCTGCTGCTACCAGGCCCTAAGCGAGGCGGATGACGCCAGGCTTGCGGTGACCACGTGGTGGTGGTGGTGGGAGGGGGTGAATCGCACAGCCTCGGGTCGCACCTTTGGGGAAGATGAGTTGTGAAGCGTCCTCTTCTACGTCGCCAGCCCGCGGATCACTGCCGCCCGCCGCCATCGCCGCGCGGAATTCCACAGATGCCACCGGAAGCGGAAGTGGAAAGCTGCGCACAGACTCGCGGGAAGTGGGAGGGCCGCGGGGCGGGGCCGGGCCCCGGGGAAGGGCTGGGCTGTGGACAGGCGGGAGGCAGCTAGGCTGGACTTTACTCCTTCTGCCGCTGAGAAAGGTGTAGGGGTCCTGGGGGTAGGACGCTGGCCAGCCCGAGAGAAAGCGCTCTTGAAAAGCTGCACGTCCTGGCATGGTCACTAGGCTCTTCTAGGAGGAAGGAGGGATTAGGTGAGATGAGTGCGCAAAGTGACCTTGATGGAGAGCTGGGTAGGTGGGTCCGCGGAAGCATACTGTGGCTTCGCTTTTGGTGACTTAAGCATTTAAAAATTTGATTTCTAGTGGATTATCTAGTATTTCTGGGCAAGAGGAAGTAATATTGAGAGGCTTTTACTACATGTGTGGAAGGTAGGTCGAAAATTAAGCAAATGAAGCCTGGCTTGGTGGCGCATGCCTGTAATCCCAGCACCCGGAGGCTGAGACAGGAGGATCATTGTGAGTTCGAGA